TTTGCACTGTCTAGGGTCTCTAGAAAACCGGTTTTTCGGAAGAAATGTTTTGGAGTCCAACTTTGCTGAAAATTTTATTATAGATGCAGCTCATGTCCTAGAGCCTATTCTTACGTTTTCAGATTTTTTTCTCATCTGGTTCATGAGATATTCCCTAATTACTTTTTAATTAATCACCATGTGAAAGACCAAGCATTTTCACATAAGTCTACGCTAAAAGAATTTATCCAAAAGATTCACTCTTAGAAGAATTAAACTCAAATGAAACATGTAAATGTCCCGTTTTGCCTGATTTAGCCGATATATTCTTTTATGAGTTCTCAAGATCAACGAAATCTCATACACTGATTAGTAAGACAGATAAAACAGTGTGAATGTCGGTTATCTGAATATAAGTACTCCTTTATACAGTTGATAATTATTGAAAAACTTATTATTGTCTTTACCATTTGTTGGTAGATTATTCGTTCGATTTGTTGTTGATTTTTTCTTTGTTTCTATTTGTGTACGTTCAATAAGATTTTTAAGAAAACGATTACCATGTAATGTTGTATCATTTTCATTATGAACTAAATTACTTAATGTCATACCAAAACGTATTTGAGATTCAAATGAATCCATTACTGTTGCAAACCATTGCCAACTTGGTAATAAACATTGTTCAATTTCTTTCTAGAAATAAACAAAAAAAAAGTCAAAAATAATTTTGTTTTTCGTGTTATTATTCTTTTACTTGTATATTATCAAAAGTATTTTGTTCATCAATTGTAGTTGTTGTTGTTAAAACATCATGATATAAAGATGAAGCAGATAATGTTGATGGCCATCGAACAAGTAAATCAGTTATTTGTCGAATAAGAATACCAAAAGCTCTTGCTAATAATGAATTTGTTACATTAACAGATATATTATTTGTTTGTTGTTGTTGTTGTGATGATGATTGAGATGTTTGTTGAGAAGATGTTGGTTGATTTATATTTGAAGCAGTTGTTGTTAACGGAGTTGTTTGACGTCGAGAAGGATTATCACCAAATATCGAACCTAGATGATATTAAAATCTTTATTAAACATATTTGATATGAATAGAAACTGTTAGATCTACAATTTTTTGGAATTCAACACGATCGATCAAACTTTCTTGAATTTCGACTCAAACTCTACTCGTAATTTCATCAGAGATTTTTAGTCTGACTCTAATAGTTACTTTGAAGGTATGAGATACTTTGAATCGATTATTTGTGTTCTTATACTAACTAAGAAATTATACAAAGTGGTTTTGAGCTTTTTTTTTCACTGATTTCTATCACTAATACTATTTATAGTTTTGAATAGAAGGCTGGTAGATGTAGATTTATTCTTGTGAATACGTGTCGAACAACGTAGCCTTTTAGCTATAGTGAATTGACCCAGTGAGACTAGGAACAGTGCAAAAGGTTAAAGGAGTCACTTACTCATCATAGATGGTAAACGTAATAATTTAAGATTTCTGTAGTCTCAAAGGATCCTCTGTATGGACAAAATAATAGCATAAAAGCTCTAAACAATTTAAAATGATTCCTTCGTAGAACATCCTACATATTTCTCAGACAATCTGAATGATGATCTTATAATATTCAAGTCATAATTGGCTATTACTTTTAGAGTATAACTCGTCGCGGCATTTCCGGATACGGTAAAAATCTAACGAATTCTAGTTGTTATTAATTATCTGATTTCTTTTGATTTAAACCTAAGGGAAAGAATATCTTTTTTGCAGTCTAATCAAATACAATGAATACTTTAAAAAATACACTATAATTCTATTCTTATGGAATAATCAAGATTAGTTTTCTAAATTATAAAACTAATATCTATTACTCACGAGGGAAGGTCCCCAAGTGTGAGTCTCCGTTTCGAATCGGGTATTTGTTATTTTGTAGAGCTCAATGAGTACAGTACCCGCGTATAAAGGATTTCTGCCCATGGTGAACTTTTCA